GTGCTTTACAAAGATTGCTTGGGGAGCAGCAAAAACCTGTGGCTTTGGGAATGATAAACTGAGGCAGGAAGAGTATTTAAAAAGGGTCACTATTTCAGGAGGGACCTAACCATGTTCAACTTTACTCATGACTTGACTTTCCAAATAATTCTCCTCCTCTCTACCTTTCCAGGTACCCTCTATGTGCGGTATTCCCCCATAATAATAAAAGCTCTGTGAGTTTTAAGACGGCCTTGCTTGCTTATCTTTAGAACCCCAGAACTTATCAGAGTGCCTGGCGTATAGTAAGTACTTAATAAATGCTCTATTCATCCATCCATCTATCTGTCCATCCAGTCTTGACAAAGACATTAGATGGGCTGCAGTTGGAATAAAGGGAGAGGATGGTGCTAGAAATCCTATGGAAGTAAAAAGATGACCTGGTAACTGATTGTATATGAAGGAAGAGGAAGAGAAAGTCACAGCAGCTCTGAAGTTCAAGGCTGGAATAACTGGAAGATGGTATTATTAAAGGAAACACTATCTCAATACCTCTCCTATATATTATATATATATATATATATATATATGCATGTATATATACACATAGATGTAGATCTGTATATATGCATATATGCACATATATATACATATATAATATATACATACAAAACACACACATATATATCATACATATAGAATCCACCTATATATAATACATGTATGGATATATGTATGTCTGTAGCTTTACAAAGTATTTTATGTATAATCTGATCCTTTCAACAATCCTGTGAAGTAGGTACCATAGTTATAACACCTATTTTATGGATGAGGGAAATGAAGCCCAGAGAAGTAACTTGCCAATGATCATACAAATAGGAAGTGCTCTAGGCAGGATTTGAACCTAGTTTTCAACTCTCAGCCCAGCACTGTTTCGCCTGCTCTATATTTTATGTAAATAAATAGAGACATGAATGGGAATGAATCCTCTGGTGGGGGACAATGGGGAGCACAGTTTGAGATACTCAGAGTTTGAGGCATCAGTGAGATATCCAGGTAGATATAACCAAGAGACAGTTGGAGATATGGACCAAAGAACTCTAAGAAGCTGACATTTGAGAATTAGTTTCATAGAGGAGATAATTAAAGCCACCGGAAGGAGGTGAAAGCAAGTAGAGGAAATCACTAACAGAACAGATGTGTAAAGTGGAAAAAGAAGGCCCAGTAAAGAACTGTAGAGGACAACCTTATTTAAGGGGCACGATTAAGAATACAAGTAAGTTGGAGAAATGGAGAAAGAGGAAAGAGCAGAAACAGAAGTGGGTTTGGAGCCAAAGGATACAAACTCAAATCTCACCTCTATGACTTTGGGCAAATCCCTCTACATCTCTGGGCCTCAGTTTCCTCATACATATAATGGGCTGAAGAAGATCAGAGGTTCTTAATCTGGGGCCCACGAGGGTCCATGGATAGGTTTCAGGAGGTCAATGAGATTAGAATGGGGGGGATTTTTTTAAATTTTTATTTTCTAATAAAATAAAATATTTTATTTTATTTTCACTAAACTCAACCAATTTTGTAATCATATATGTTTAATTTAATTCATTTAAAATTAATCTAGGAAAGGTTCTAGGTTTCATTAGACTATTGAAAGGGTGTATCTCACTCACACATACACACACACACACACACACACACACACACACACACACACACACACACACATACACGTGTGCGTGTGCGCAAATAAGAACTCCTGAAATAGAGAAATCTCCAAAATCTCTTAAACCTGTGATCAATGACCTAAAAAGTCTAGGTAGCAGGAGAATCATGAAAGTGAAATTTCATGGAAGCTAAGGAAGAAGAGGAAAGCAAGGAGAGGGTAGTCTATAGTGTCCAATGCTACAGAGAGTTCATGGGCAGGAATGAGAGGAAAGGGGATCACTGTAGTTAATGAAAAAGGGACCATTAATGATTTGGGGAGAAAGGTACAGTAGAGTAGTGGGAATAAAGACCAAGTTGCAGGAGTTGAAAAGTGGTTTGGAAATGAATACAGCAAGTCTAAACTACTCTTTCATGAAATTCGGCTTCGATGCCACCAAAGTGCCTGCTCAGCCATCCTCAGCAATGGTGTGATTTACATATCACACCAAGTTACCTTCCAGCTGTTTGGAATGAAAGGAGGGGGTACCATTGCCCCTCTCACTCAGCTCCAGCCAGGATAATAGGTCTAAGGAAAGACTGGTTTTCACTAGGCCATGAGTAATCATGGCAGGGAAGGGGATTATTTTATGTTTATTAATAGGACAAGACTCCCTTAATTCAAAACTGTGAGCCCCAGTAAGTCACATGACCTGAAATAAGAAGACAGCTTTCTTTTTATTAATGAGGCAAAACTCCATGAATCAAAACTGATTCCTACTCCTTTGTTATGTATCCTTCGGCTAAAAGCCCATTGATAGACAAATCAACTCTTTGGTGATTGATTACTCAATGCTCCATGCCTTCATGAGAGGCAGAGTTGGTGTGAGCTTGAGTGAAGAGAGATCTTGGTCTTCTAACTTCCAGCTTCCAGAGAGAAGGCATGCAGTTCCAGACTTTCTTCAGGTCCCTGAAGGGAAAGAAAGACTGTGGGAAGAAGTCAATGTGCAGAGAAGCAAGTGACTCGATCGTGTCATTATCCCCAACTTCTATACTAGAGACTGAGGAATTTCCCTCAAGTAATAATTCCTTGTCAATCTCCCTATGTTGAGCTGAAATATCTCACTCCCAATGGGAGAGCTCATTCACTCCATGTATTGTCTGTATTGTATTCACAATCTTCTACCTGCTCTTATTGCTTTACTATTACCTTGGATAATTTTTTTATTTGTATGTTTGTTTTCTATTTGCTACACGCGTTTATTGTCGGCATAGCATTTGGTGGGGAGATATATTGCTGGGGATATATAGGCTGGGGCATTCTTTCCCCATTAAGGGATAGCTATCAGGAAATTAGCTTAATCTAAAAAAATTTCCCCTAGACTAATGATATTTGCGGGGAGAGCAGATATAATTCTAGCCCAGTACTCCCTTCTCTCTGAGGAAAGCAGTAGGACCACCCTCTGGTACCAAAGTTCTACTTCCTCTCTTGGCAGGAATCAAAGCCTACCTTGGTGAAGAGGAGGCAGAGGAGATGCCAAAGATATCTCTTCATGCCTCACTGGATATACATAACTTATATGGGCAACACAACACATACACCACACCCCTGGCTCTTGGACTTGCTTAGACCTTCCAAGCTGACAGAGCTTTGAATGTAGAAGATAAGAGATAACTTCTCTCCCTCAGAAAATCAGAGTAATAGACCTGGATCCTAGTGAGAAGGCGCATCATTAGGAGTGTTTAACCTGATTTAACCAGTAGTAGTAAATGAGTTTTTGAGATCCAGGTCTTCTGGTATACATTTCCTACCTTCTCACCTTTGCTTTCTCTCTGTGACTAAGAGATCAGGAATTTGGCTCTAAGGCTTTGCTCTTTCTCTCTCCCTTGCCTTGCCCTTTCCTTCCAGTTAAGAAGAAGAATGAAAATGAAGGGTTGCACCCATGCTTCTCTCTTGTTTATTCTTCCTGTCTTTCCCCTCTGACTGCCAAGAAGAGCAAAGGTTCGGCTCTGCCTCTGCTCACATGTTCTCTTCCCCTCCTCTATCTATAGCCCTAAGAGCAGAAGCTGTTTTTGACTCTGTTCTTCTGTCATGCCCTTATTCTCTTCTGGCAGGCCAGGGGAACAGAATTGCTTCTCTGTGTCCTGTTTGTTTGGGGTTTTTTTTCCTCTTTTCCTGATCAGCCAAGAAGGGCAATCACGTGGTAGACCTGGCCATGCCTAAGACAGTTATTGATTCGTTATTCATTGCCAGCCTCTTTTCAGGAACGATTGCATGTCTTATGGTTTTAGGATTATTTAAAATAATTATATTTTCATTATAAGGAAGATTTTTAAAAAAATGATTTATCTGTTTATACTGAGCTAGGAATTCCCCCTGATAATTCATATACTTGATAGATCTCAAGTAATAATAGTTTGTGGATGGCATTGAGCTAAGAATTGTCTCTACAATCCCTGAGTTTGATAATTCCCATGAAACACCTCTCTCTAAATTCACTCCCTCCCCCTTCTCTTCTTTCTCTTTAATCATGGATAGAGTGTTGGATTTGGAACCAGAAAAACCTGAGTTTAAATTCTGCCTCATACACTTGCTAGGTGTGTGACCCTGGCAAGAGTCACAATTAATCTTTCTTGGTCTTAGTTTACTCATCTATAAACCAGGAATAATAATAGCGCATATTCACAAGGATGTAATGAGAATCAAATAAGGCAATTTATGTAAAGCATTTTGCAAAACTTAAAGTGGTATATAAATGCTATCTAATATCATTATTCTCATCCTCATTATCTGTTGCCTAGAGAAAGGGTTCTGAACCTTTTCTGTGCCATTGGCCCTTTGGCCATGGTCTGGTAAAGCCTGTGAACCCCTTCTCAGGATCATATTCTTAAATGCATAAAAAAACATATGTACTTTTACAAAGTAAAACAATATTCTGAAATATTTTTCAAAATATTAAAAATAAAACAAGTTTATGGTTAAGAATCCCTGGCCTAGAAGACCCTAAGAATATTGGTTCACAAAAGATTTTGGGTGATCACACTCAGCAAAACACGGTGGAAGACGTGGTTATGGAATTATTAAAATAGCTCTTTCAATTAGAATTGATGGAGCATCTGAGCAGTGTCTCTTTCAAAGTCCTCCTCAAAGAAGAGATTGATGGCTTGAGGAAATGACAGGGTCAGGGGAAGGTTGAAGTTGGGTTTTTGTTTGTTTGTTTTTAGAAAACAGGAGAAATGACATGATCATAAGCTAAAGGAAAGAAACCTGTAGAGAGGGAGAGATTAAAGTCGCATGACAGAAGTAGCAAGTGATTGATGGAGTGAGGTCCCAGAGGAGAAAAGAACCAAAGGGAACACAGGATTGCATTATGACCTACCGGGCAGTGCTGCATCTTTCCTTCGTGAAAACATTGTGTTGTATCCATGGCCTGAATGAGATGAAACCACGTCAGTGCTTCGACGGACCGTGAGTCTGACAGTGCCCTGAGTCTGACGGATAAGGTCAATAACTGCCCTGTGTGGTTGACCCAATATTGATTTGCCATTCACCTGATTAAATACATACAGAAAAAGGATAGCATTACCTTAAATAATTTTAGAACATATATTGCAATATTTTTTAAACAAAAACACAAGCTTTATTCATGTTATTGGAAAACAATGTTTGCCCAATGACATCTCTGGAAACAGCTACTGTACTCCTGAAATCATCTCTATTAGATTATGTAGATATGATCTATGAAAATACTTCAGACTTAATCCGTGGAGACTTCAGAGAGTGTATAAGCAAATACTTGGATTTGCATTAGATTCTTGACTCTGAAATCCATTACTCTAACTTCCTTGCTGACTTTGATGGGTTACCTATACAACCCAGAGGAAAGCAGAAAGCAGCAAATTAGTTTATAGTAGATTACAGTGTGCTCTTTTTAAAATTAATTTATTTATTTTTAGTTTTCAACATTCACTTCCACAAGATTTTGAGTTCCATATTTTCTCCCCATCTTGTTCTTCCCCCCACTCCAAAATGGCATGCATTCCAAATACCCCTAATCTGCCTTCCCTTCTATCTCTCCCCTCTTCTCTTATCCCCTTCCCCTTCAATTTCACATATTGCAATATTAACTCCATCTATAAATGCCTTTAGATAGAATATACAATTTTTTCTATCCATCTTGTTATTGAAGAGAAAATGACCCCATCTTGTTTCCATCTTGGCTAAATAACATAGCTAAAGCTTTGCTTTAGCTGTCATTCAGTATTCTTGCCTCAGAATTACAATTTCATAGGTTTTTTTCAGCCTGGCTACTTTCCTATTATACTGTGATCAAAACAAAGCTATCAATCGAAATCTAAAAGCTCTCTCTTCAAAAAAACAAAACTAAAAATAAAAAAATAAAAAAACAAAAAAACAAAAAAACTGTTTTTCAGATACTAAACTATAGGTAAACATGCTTTTTTTTCCCTCCTTTTCCTCCTTATTTAATAGACTTAAAACTCCAGTGATTGTGAAAGAAACTCAGAATTGGAAGGGGCCTTACTAGCCTTTTGGTCCAACCCATACTTAAACAAGAATGTCATCTGTAGCAATGGTGTTGAGCTCAAATAGAAAAGAGAGCCGCTGAATTACAGAGAAAGATCCCCACAGCTGCATATTGATTTAGAAAAGCACATATTAATATTTTCTGTTGTATTTTATTTACTTTGTTAAATATTTCCCAATCACATTTTAATCTGATTTCTTGCCACACTTCACAGGTATGCACCAAGGGTGGCTGACACCTCTGTTATGCAACATAAGTGGCAAACGGTTTACTCAACCTTCACTTGAAAACCTTTAGTGAGGTCTAAGAACCTCCTGAAGCAATTAATTCCAGTTGATGGCTCTCTTAGGTATTTTTCCCCATGTATCAAACCTAAATCTATTCCTGAAACTTCCGTCCATTCCTTATTCCTAGTTGTGCTTTCAAGGGCTAAGCAGAACAATGCTAATCTTTCATTTATCAGCCCCTCAAATTCTTAAGGACAGTTATCATAACCTATCCCCTGAGTCAGCTCTTTTCCCAGCTAAATACTCCCAGTTCTTTCAACTGATTTTCATATGGAATGCTCTTGAAGCCATTCACCAGCCAGGTCACCCTCCCAGGCATTTCAGAAAGCACACTTAGTCTTTCAGGTCACTAGGAAATCAGCATACTAAGTGTCCAACTTAACACCAAGGCATTACATGGGGTCCTAATGGAGTGTACAGGCCCATATTAATTAGGGTTCAGGCTGTATTACACCAAATCCATAAACTCTTGGGAGTTCAAACTAGCACTGAATTCTTACATAACACCCTCTTTCTCCCACAAAATGTTGCACAGAAGATATGTATTTTTAATTAAAGATAATTAACATTAATTTAATTTGGATGATTGTTTAAATTGATTTCAAATTAATCACAGGAAATACCCTGGGATTTCCCCACTCACCAAGGCTTAGGACCACTTGCCATACTAGAATTCAGACAGAACACATATGCCTTACACTTGGCTCTCTAAAAGCTTATGTTCTTAAATTTTTGTCATTCAGTCGTTTCAAATTGTATCCAACTCTTTGTGACCCTATTTGGGGTTTTCTTGGCAAAGATACTGGAGTCTACCATTGCCTTCTCCATCTCATTTTACAGTTGAAGATGAGGCTAATAGAGTTAAATAACTTGCCCAAGGTCACAAGGCTAGTAAATGTCTGGGGCCAGATTTGAATTCAGGAATATGAGTCTTCCTGACTCCAGGACTGGAACTCTAGCCACTGCTCCATCCAGCTGCCCATATGTTCTTATATTAGTATGACACAAATCACATGCATATTGAACAGTTGCCACATGCACAGATATTACATGATCCTATTACTTTGTTGGCAAAGCCTAGCTTCAACAAAGAATAATTCTTAAAAACATGTAAGATAAACCTAGTACCTTCAATAAAATGTCACCAGCTTGAAGTCTTCCATCAAGGTCAGCAATACTACCGGGGGAAATTGCTTTGATTTGAAATGAGTGGCCATTTCTGCCACCTGTTAGGGCAAACCCCAAGCTCCCTGTCCCTCTTTTTTCCAAGTCAACTTCAATGAGATAACCCTATAAAGATAGAAGAATTAAATTAGTTTACAGGTGATGATTTTACCTTACATCTTATCTAGTTCATTATCTATCCGAGAGACACCAAGGAGCCACCATTATTAAGCTGATGTCCCAAAAACAGAATTATGTCCCCGAGTTAGAATTATGAGGCTCCACCCGTTAAGGGCAGCCCTGACTCGGTACCTCTCTTATGGCTTAAAGAACCCTTTGAAGTTAACCAAATACTGCAGACATTCTAAATCATCATCAAGCATTTATTGCATGCCTTGCTTGGCAGATTGTAAAGTCCAAATGGAGATCTAATATCTAGAAAAGCCTACGAAATCAGATGTGGAATAAAAACACAATTCATACTTCTTATAAGTATGATGCAGGGGGGTGAAAGTTTTACTCATAGACCACAAGGAATGCAGTGAAACAAACTCATACCAAGGAGAGAGCCTGTTAAATGGGAAATTGCTATGCATGACGAATATTGTCTGAGCAAATACAGAAACAGCCTGGGATCCTTTAATTGGAATGGAAAATGCTGAAAGCCAACATAAGTGGATTTTGCTGTATAATCTGTAACATGTCAAATCTATTTATAAAAGCAACAGGACACTAGTATTGCATCCAGAAGAGACAAAGGTTAAACATTTATCTTCATGAGTCAAGGATGACATGGGACAAGAGGGCAGTGACTGCTAACGTAAAATGTGTGATCTAAATATAGGTATTGATACTATTTATAGCTTGAGATGTTAACTTTGAAACAAAAGCAGATTTTGGGGGTTTTTTTATTAAATAAAGAAAAATGGATTCATAGACTTGGGGACTTTGGAGGACATCTACTCCAATCCCCTCATTTTACAGATGACAAGATGAGTCTCAAAGAGGCTAAGATTTGCCCAAACTCACCCAGGTAACAAGTAGCAAAGCCAGTATCTGAACCCAGGTCCTCCGAATCTGCTTTCCACTATGTACCACACTGCTTCACTATAAAGAGTGAATTTGATGTAAGTGAAAGTTGCAAAGAGCTACAACTGATGTTGACTTGCTTGACCTCCATAAACCTGAAGCTCCTTAGGGGCTCCTTAGGCCCTATCTCTCTTCTCACCCCTACCCCATCCAGGCTCAACCAATCCAACATTCTGAAGCCAATAATGGCCCTAGAGAGAGAGGAAATATCAGGATATATCCTGTCAGCTCAAACAAATCCTCAAGAACCCACAGGGCTGCCGCTTAGGAATCAATATAGACTATCTCTTCTCTCTCAGATAGACAGTGATAATACTTCCACCACTAAAAGGGGCCTAGGAGATACCAAATATGGCATCTGGTTTTGTAGTCAGAAATCAAAGAATATTTTCCTTTGCTAATTCCTTTCACAAAGATGCCTGGACACAAGCATCTTTCACAAAGATGCTAGAACCGTGACAATTTCTAGTTACTGTTGGCTCAATCTGAGTCACTAATCTGAAAGAAGAAAAGAGAAACCAGATGACTTATTGGTATGTCTCATCAGTGATGCAAAAGTCTGACCCAAAATAGCCATCCAATTCATTGTCGTGAATCTTAGCAAGGGAACCAAATTCCATAATTCCTATCACTGTTCTCTTGGCACCACTGTATTTGGCTATATCATTTAGCCTGCAGAAGATGAGACTTTTGAGAAACTTGACTGGTATCTTCAAATTAACTTCCATTCAATTAGCATTAAGTACCTACTCCATGTCAAGGCACTGTGCTAAGAAAGAAATGGCAGCAATGCCTCCCTCCAGAATCTTATACTCCCCTGGGAAGAAAGAACATGGACACAGAAAACCAAATACGAAATACTGAATGCAAAGTAAAAGGGAGTCATTAACAATACAAGGGGATCTGAAGAGGCCTCTTGACCTGAGCCTTGGGAATGAGAGCTTATAAAAAGTGGAAGTCAGGAGAACATTAGACAGGAGAACAATGATAGACCGTGCATAGGCATGGAGCAGACAGAGTATTGTGTACATGGGAATATCTGAAAAGCTGCCATGTAAAAGATCGATTAGACTTGTTTGGCTTGTCCCCTGGAGAGTAGAACTAAGGCTAATTGTGTATAAGTCACAGGGAGGTGACTTTTGACTCAATAGAAGGAAGAATTTCCCAAACAGGTACAGCTATTAGAAAACTAAATGCTTGTCTTAAGAGGTAGTGAGTTTCCCATTGTTGAAATTCTTCTAGTAAGTGCTAAATGACCACTTCTCAGGGATGCTAGAGAGGGGATCCATGCTAAGAAGAAGGGTTGTACTAAATCAAGATCTTCTTGACCTGAGGTCCAGGGACCCTTAGTAATAGCTAGCATTGATATAGCATGTTAAGGCTTGCAAAATGCTTTCCATATGTTAATTCATTTGATCCTCACAACAACCCTGGGAGGTAGGTGCTATTATTGTCCTCAGTTTAAAGATGAGAAAGCTGGGGCACAGAACAGTTAAGTGGATTACCCAGACTCACACAGCTGCTAAGTGCTTGATGGAAAATTAGAAACTCAGGTCTTGCTGACTCCATGTCCCACACAGTGTACCACCTAGCTGGCTCAAAGGGGCCTGTGGACAGATTTCATGGACACAGTGAACTTGGATGAGAAGAAATTATCTATTGATTTTCACTGACCCCTATCTGAAATTTAGCATTTCCTTCTATTGTGATTAAATATATGTATATGTATGTGTGTGTATGTGTGTGTATATATATATGTATGTATGTATATATATGTCTATATATGTGTATATATGTATATATGTATGTATGTATGTGTACATATATATGTGTGTGTGTATATATATATTGTGAGAGGGCTTCACCAGATTGGCAAAAGGGTCCATGACCCAAAATAATTTAAGAACTTCTGTATTAAATGGAAGAGAAGACCTCTGTGCCTCTAGAAATTAAATGTATTTTCCTTAAGCCAGTGTTAATCTGGGAGATTTGTTTCTCTAACTCATCTGCTGTGGTATCTTGTGATTCCATGAGTCATATCAGATGTCCATGGTAACAATGAATGACTAAGCACTTATTATGAGCTTACTATGCACCAAGCACTATGCTAGCTGGTCAGTATACTAAGACAAAATTAAATAGCTCCTGCCCTCAATAAGCTTACATTCCATCAAGGAGACATGTATATAAACAGGTACATGAAAAATATAAAAAAGATCAATGCAAAGTAAATAAGCCTTGACCTTTCCTCCTCACCTACTCCATTTTTCTTGAATAATCTTTTCCCTCCCCCAGCAACCCTCCACAAAAAAACATTAAAGTATTCTGTTTATATATTATGTCCTTATTTATCCATAATAATAATTGTTAATAATAATAAATAATGAACTCCTCGAGGGTAGGCATATTTCTTTTTTGTCTCTGTATCCCTAGTGGCCATCAGAGTGCCTGGAATATAGTAAGGGCTTAGTAAACGTTTATTGATTGATTGAAATACTCTACTAGAATCAGAATCCTAGGCAGAGCCAACACTGGCCTTACACAGAAAGGCATTCCTTAGGATGACATCCTTTTATTAGTCTGGGAGGAAAAATGCAGCGACCTGTATGGGATACCTAACTCTGACTATCCAGCAGATTGGCATTAAAAAAAAAAACAACATGAGATGGTAGAAAGAACGGACTATGAATTGGGATGGCTGGATTTCAGTCCAGGTCCCCAGTTATTACCTGTGTCACATGGGAGAGGTCACTCCAAGTTCCTGTGCTTCAATGATCATATCTAGAAAATTAGAGGTACGGCCTGGAGGATCTCAAAGGTCCCTGACAGTTCCAAAATTCTGTGATTTGAAGTCCCTACAGGAGGTGTTTCCAGGCCCTCTACAAGCAGAGATGGACAGAGACTGTCAGCCCAGCAGATGGGGTACTGCCAGTGGCAGCTGCATGTTGTTGTTCATTATTCTCAGGGTGGATAAAAAGATGGCGAAATTTACCTCTGTGGCCAGGGGAACTGAATTCAGATGTGGGGAACTGGATAGTACTGGCTCCATAATTTCATTGGTATAGAGAGCTTCAGATGAGAAAACTTCCCTGCATCAATGAAAATCAGCACCTTGCCTCAACTTTATAGATTGAGAGTTACCTTGGGCAAGGTGAGGTAACATGATTTGCCCAGAATCCAACAGCCAGTATGTATCTGAGGCAAGACTCCTTGCCGGGCACTCCTGCATCAAAGGCTGGCTCTCTCTACACCATACCATGGTGTCTCTCATGCATATTACCTTTGATATTTAGCACATTTTATATGGTAAATATCAGAAATGTTGATTACTCTCTATACTCTAGGAACTTAAAATTCAGCTGATGAGACAATAATTCAACTCAACAACATTTATTGGGCGCCATGGTTCTAGGACACACAGATGCAAAGACATCTTGGATGTCCAGATCGGGTGAATACTCCTTCATGGAGTTTTTTTTTTTCTTCTCTCAGTTCTAAGTGATTTTTTTTTCTTCCTTGAACCTTCATACTACTATGTGGACTTATATTAAAATTTCAATTCAATTCAATAAACATCGATTAAGTGCCTGCTATATGTCAGGCACTGTGAAGGGAAAAAAATGTATGAAAGACAGTTCTTGCCCTCAAGGAGCTTATAATCTATTGGGAGAAGACAAGTCACAAAAGGAAGCTGGAAGTTGAGGGGTGAGAGAGAAAGAGAGACACCAAAGCGTACCCAGGCAAGGGCATCTTGTTCCATGGAGTTGAGACTGTGCAGAGCTGCAGATAGGGAGTGCAGTGAGCTAGCAGCCCAATTTCTGCCCTCTATAAAGGAAGGAGTTTAGTACTCCACCAACCAGGCCTTCAATCAGAGGGGAGAGGAGGCTGAGGGAGGTAGGCAGTTCTGAGTATCCAAGGCTGAGGAAACAGCATATGGATGAGATTAGAAGTTGAGATCGAACAAAGTTGCAAACAGAGAATATGTGTGTGTGTGCATATGTATGTATATATGTGTATGTATATATGTATGTATATGT